TCCTTCTCCTCCTCCTCCTCCTCCTCCTCCTCCTCCTGGGCTGCCGCCGTCCCTTCTGTGTCCCGAGCTGCCCACTGGGCCCCTCCTGACGGCCCCCAGCCGGGCTGTTCCGCCTTCCCGCTGGCCCGCCCTCCTCCAGCAATGCCGTCCCCGCCGATCTCTCCGGGTCTGGATCCGGCGGGGGATCCTCGGGTCCTCGGAGGCGACCCCGCCCGCGCCGGCGTCTCTTGGGGCCCCTGCCCCAGTTTGCAGCCACCCCACCTCTCCTCAGCCCTTGTGGCAGCCTTTGCTCCCGGGGGTCAGCTAGTCTCCCCCTGATTCCTGGGGTGGGGAACGCTCAGAGCCGCTGTGATTCTGCAGCTTTTGGCTTCGGCCTCGGGCACCTGGGTTTCCTGGCTGGGCCCTGGAGCTGCTGGGGCACCTCCTCAGTCGGGGAAGCCAGGACCCCACCTCATTGCTGAGCCCTCTCCCGCTGCAGAGGCGTCCGTCAGGCCCCACGGTGAAAGACTTTCCGGTCCTGGGCCAGCTCGCTTCCATTTCTAACCACACCGTGTTCCTTGTAATAATGTTCAAGGACAAGGAAACGGTCGTGTGTTTTAATTTTGTTTTTCCTGTCGCGCCCCTCCCCCACGCACACTTGGACTGGCTCTGCACAGTTATTCACCCACCCACAGAGAGCCGTGCTCCGTGGAAGTGGGCAGACCAGGGGACTGAGGGTCCTGGGTTTCTCTCTACCCTCTTCTCTTGACTGTCTCTCACCTTTGAAACAAGCTGGGGCGGGGTCAAAGGTGAGGAGTGGGTGGGAAGGTTTTGCAGAGGTTGGGCATCCGAGGGCCCTTCTTGGGACTTGGCCCTGCCTTCCCAGGCCAGCTGGAGCGGGTGACTGAAGAAGGCAGTACCCATTGCAGGATGGAGGGGGTTAGATTGTCCTCAGGGGCTCTGCATGCCATGTGATAGGAAACGTCCCCCTTCCTTTGGAACTAGAGGGACCAGCACTCTGTCCCCCAGGCTGGCGGGCCTGGGGGTTCGGGGGTGTTGTGGGTGGGATGGTGCTTCGGGAGCCAGGATGAGAACTGAGGAGGTGGTGGAGTGTCTGAAGAACAGGTGACTTGACCGGGCCCTGTGGGAGTGGAGGAATGGTCTGGGGAGAGGAGGTGGTTACCAAGGAAGGTGGCTCATTGGTGACACTGAGTGGAATTGTATTAATAATGGCCAACATTTATTGGGCACTTGGTATGTGCTAGGCATTATGCTAAATAGTTTGCAGGCATCTTCTCCCGTAAGCCTCCCAACAATCTTGGTAACTCTACTTTTCACATAGGGAAACCGAGGCTTAGAGAAGTAAGCATGGTGCCTAAGGGCACACAGCTAAACAGTGGTAGACCCAGCATGCATTGAATCAGACCCCGGGCTTGCTCCTGGTACAGGCTTAGAGGAGGGACACCCATTGGCTTCTATTGTAGGGCTGTGTCACTTGGTTTAAAATTTTCTTCTGCCCCTCAAAACCCCTCAGGCCACTCCTAGGCCGGTGCCGGCTGCCCAAGCATCCCCAGTTCATAGGCTGTGGCTGTCTTACCCTGACTGTCTGAGGAGGGGGAACCCCAGGGAGTCCCCCCCCAGGCCACCCCACCCCCTGGATGTTCTGGGGCCCTGTCCCATTCTCCCAGCCCAGGCCTGGGCCCTCCTCCTTTCTCTTGGCGAGGCTCTGGAAATCCAGTGGGAGGCCATTGCTATGGCAACAGGACTAGGCCCTGGCTTTTACCTCATCAAATTCCGAGCTGAAGCCAAAGCAATTGAGAAATTAAAGAAAAAAAATGTATTCCAGATGTTTACTTCTTATTCCTTATTTTTCCGTGTTTGGATGAGACAGCTCTGAGGGAGGCGGGAGCGGAGCGGGGATGTGGAAGGAGGGGGGGAAGGGGGAGACGGAACCACTCCCAGCTGCCAGAGGGAGGGAGGGAAGGAGGGTGCGCGGGAAAGGGAAGGCTGGCAGCGGGGTGGAGCCCCAGGTTGGGGAGGAGCGGGTTTTTCCCGTCTCCCATGAGGTGATTCACGAAGAGGCTTCAGACTTTGGGCCCTCTTGCTTTGCCCTTGAGTAGATACCTCGAGCTGGCTGCTGCACCCAAGGGGTGCCCTGGGAACAGTAAGTGGGGTGTCTGGGAGAGCTCAGCAGAGGAGGGAAGAGTAGGCAGCTCCCTGAAGCTCCAGGACTTTGGAGTTAGGAGACAAGAGTTGGAGAATGATCTGGGAAGAGCTGAGGATAGGCTGCTGGGGACCTCCCTTGACCGCCCCACCCCCTCTGGAGTTACCTCTTCCTGTCCCACACTCTGCCTCTGCTGGAAGTAGCAGATTTCCCTTGGCCAAGCCTCCTGCCAACGCCCAACCCTCTTGCCTTCTCCTCTCTCTCATTTCCTGGGTCTTTGGCTGCCCGGGCTCACACCCCTCTGCTTCCAATTCCCATGCAGGTTCTGCCGCATGTGATGAAAGTGTCTGCTCTCAGGGAAGGCACAGCCATGGCTTCCCCACCACCCCGGGAGATGGAGGAGGAGCTGGTATCTGCTGGCTCTGAGCCAGGTAGGTGCCTATGGGTGGAGTGGGGTGGCTGGGAGGACAGTGAGAGGAGCAGAGGCTGAACCCCCATTCTGTCTGGGAAGGAGTGGGCGAGGGATGATTCTGTTGGGGTGGAATGAGGGAGGGAGGAGTACAGGGTGAGTATGAAAGGGTCTCAGTTCCTGGTGAAACTCTTTAGAACTGTTTGAAGTCTTAGATCTACAGCCTAACCTTCGAAATGCTGTGGATAAAGCCGAGTGTTTTAAGAGGAGACTGGGGCCTGGGTGAGACATGACGTGCACCTTGGGGGTTTGAACCCAGGCCTCCTGGCTCCTGCCTACACTCCTTTCTTAGGCTGAGCTGAATGAGTGAGTGATAGAGGTTTCTATTAGAAGGGCCATGGCAATGAGTAATTCCAAGGTCTTTTATTTGGCTTTGGAATGCCTTACATAGAAGGCAGGTTCCTGGTTTTTTTTTTTTTTCCTGTAGCAGATTTACTTCTGTGTGGGTTAGGTCAATAGTAAGTTTGCATTCCTCATCACACACCGGATGACAGTGGGGAGGTGGCCTGGGTGTGTACTGGGGGAGGGGCAGCCAGGAGGCAGAGTGGGGAGGCTCAGCTGGGATAAAAGGTTTACTGTGGGATGGTAGGATGGTAGAGTGTCCTGTCAAAGGACAGGACCAGACTAGGGAAATGGTGGGCTGAGTGCTTGATGTGGGTAGGTAGGCATTCATTTATTGGCTCATTTGCTCATTCATTCATTTATTTGATAAGAACATGTATTAGATGCAAAGTAGGGTACAGGGAGAAATAAGGTGCCAGCTGGGCCCTCAAATAGCTTTAGCTTATAGGAGGGATTGACTAAACATTTTGGGAATTTGGAGACAGAAGGTGCTTCTGGGATATGTATGGAAAATCAAGGAAGGCTTTGTGGAAGAGGTGACATTTGGCTTGTACCTAGAATGTTGTCAACATTTTGAGTTAATAGGGTGGTAGATGAAGTTCTGCTTCCTGGTTCTTCTGACAGCCACCCCAACCAACCCTTTCCTTTTGGTAGGTGACCCTCGGGCCAAACCTCCTGTCAAGCCAAAACCACGGGCCCTGCCCACCAAGCCAGCCCTGCCTGCCAAGCCCAGCCTGCTGGTGTCTGTTGGGCCTCGGCCCCCCCGGGGTCCCCTGGCCGAGCTGCCTTCTGCCCGGAAGATGAACATGCTGGCAGGACCCCAGCCCTATGGTGGCAGCAGGCGTCCCCTTCCCTTTGCACCGAGACCAACAGCTGAGACCGCTGCTGGAGGAGAAGCCACCCAAGAGCCTGGAAAAGAGGAGGCTGGGAAAGAAGAGATGCCTCCCTTGACACCCCCAGCTCGATGTGCTGCCCCAGGAGGTGTGCGGAAGGCCCCTGCCCCCTTCCGTCCAGCCTCCGAGCGCTTTGCGGCCACCACGGTGGAAGAGATCCTGGCCAAGATGGAGCAGCCGCGGAAGGAGGTCCCCGCCAGCTCTGACCGCCTCTGGGGCTCCCGCCTCACCTTTAACCATGATGGCAGTTCGAGATACGGCCCCAGGACCTATGGCGTGGCTGCTGGTCCCATGGATGAGGGTGGTGGGACCCTCTCCAGGGGATGGTCCCAGGAGGGACCTGTGAAGTGTCCCACAGAGCGCCAGTCCCCCGGGGAGAGGTGAGGGCTGGGAGGCGTCTGTTTTGTTGCGTTCTAGAGGACTACGTGGGTGGCCCCATCTGGGACTGTGACCTTCACTCTTAGGTTAGGTGCGTGCTGTGAGTGCAGGCAGACCCGGTCTAAGACAAAGCTTTCCGCCAGCAGACAGCGTTGCGACTGTATTCTCTTCACAATTACAATTTTCTTTACAGAGCTGATGCACGTTTATGATAGAGTACAAATGCACAGTATGGAAGTTTATTATTATTTTTATACCAAGAGCTGAATTTGCCTCATTTAATCCACAGCCATTCTGTTTAGTGAACGGAATATTAGGTCTATTTTAGAAAGGAGGGAACTGAGATTCAGAAGTGACTTACCATGGTTCCTCGGCAACTAAGACAGAGCTGGGGTTTGAATTCAGGTCTGTTTGATCCCAGAGCGTGTGCTCTTAACTTCTGGCTCCTACTGTGTGCGGAGCAGTGTGCCAGGTGCTCGTGAGTGATGGGAAGGGCATAGTCTGCCCGCAGGAGACCGATGAGAGAGATAAGATGTGAACACACCTTGATGCCAGGCCAGCTAGTGTCACCGAGCAGAGATTACGGCGAGGCTGGAGACACTTCTCCAGAGCTGGTGCCAGTGTAAACGAAGGCTGGCTAGGAGGTGCCTCTTGGTGTGGTAGGCACAGGGCCTTGGAGGCAGAGGCTGAGGGATCTCAGGTGCTATCAGCTGCATAGAGGCCATCCCCAGGGCAGGGAGAGCCCTCTTGAGGCGCAGTTGGCCCCCTGGGCCCTTGGGGGCCCTGCTGGGCCCAGAGGCCCCCCTCCACTTCCTGCTGCTGTGGAGGGCTGGGCTGCTGTGGTCTGGGCTGAGCCCAAAGCTGAAGGCCTCTGCCCTACCTGGCCCTCCAGCCTTGCCCTTTTCTCACCTGAAAGTACCTAGAGGGTAGGCTCCCAGTTAACCCTTCTTTGTCCCAGGCCCGGGCTCCCAGGCTGGGTTCAGCCCTCTGTCTTCCCTTCCTGTGGCTCCAAGCAGAGCTTAAGAGGAGGAACAACTTGAGCCTTGGAAATTCACTCTTTCCCCCTTTCCCTCCCCCTGTGAGCCTTCAAGAAGTATTGGCAGAGCAGTCCAGCCAGCTGTACTCCCTGGCTGGAGGAGAACATTAACCCCTTGGGGGCTAGGGGAAGGAGGGATTATCTTTGAGGGAATCATTGAGGGAATGCTTTTTCTAAAGGGGTGGGGGACTTTAACCCTTGGTGTGCAGGTAGGGAATAAGCACTATCTCCTGGGCCATTTTCTCCATGGAAACTACAGCTTCTCTGTCCCCAGTGGCCCCAGGTCGGGCTCAGTCAGAAATGCCTGGGGGTGGTGGTGGTAGTTATTCATCTGTCATAATTCTGTGCCTCCATTTCCTGTCTGTCTCCCTCTCAGGAGCCCCCCTTTGGACCGGGCCTTCAACGGGGACCTGGCTCAGCCGGCCAGCTCTGAGCCACCTACTGACGTGAGTTATCCTCCTGTTATGATTTGGAATCAGAGTGTTGTAGAGCTGGAAGGGTCATCTGAGATCATCTGTTCTATCTCTTTGTAGTTCTGATGGGGACATTGAGGGTCATGGAGGAGGTCACTTGCCCAAGGGCTGGCCCTGGGACTCAGATTTCTCAGACTCCCAGGCCAGTGCTCTTGATCAAGTATGGTTCAGGCCATGAAACTGCTTATTTTAAAGAGTAATTATCCGTGACAACTGCTGTTGTCACGTACCTACTGTGTGCTGGGCATGTTCGAGGAATGCTAACTAGCTCGGTCCTTGGAATCACTCTAGCTAGTAGGCCTGTTGTTCCCACATGAGAGGCTCACCGAGGTTAAGTAACTTATCCAGGGGCTGAGGCGGGATCTGCATTGTCTGACTCTAGTGCTCTCCTGGCTGGGCTGCCTTCTCAGGGTTCCAAGGAAAAGTCCTTCCTTGGGGATTTCTTGTTAATCCCCATCTCTCCCCACAGTGTGCTGGGAGACAGTCAGCCTGCTTTCCTGAGTATATGAGCCCTTCTTGCTCATAGAAGCTGTCCTGTCTGTTCACTGATGGAGACCTGACTCCATTCATCTGTCTAACAAATATTTGTTGAGCACCTACTATGAGCAGGGTGCTGGGGAAATAGCAGGGAGCGGAACAGGCACCGTCCCTGTTCTCTGGGAGCTCATCTTCCAGTGCAAGAGGCCAGCATGAACCCAGACAACCCTGTGAGCTAGCAGCTATGTAGTCAGACAGGCGCTGAGGAGACTGAGAAGGTAGCGAGATCTGGGATGACGGTAGTTGGGAAGGCCTTGCTGTGAAGAAGGTGAGGGAGTGAGCTGTGTGGATGTTTGGAGAACAACATTCTTGGCAGAAGCAGCTACAAGGACAAAGGACTCAGGGCCTTCTTGGCGAGGAAGCCAGGCTGTCCGGATCACTGTGAGAGGGGAGGAGCTGGGTGGTAGTGAGGATGGAGAGGCGATGAGGGATCCTATGGAGCCTTGTGGGCCACTGGGAGGACCTTGGCTTGAGAGAGGGGCAGAGCCGTTGAGGGGTTTGGAGGAGAGGTGTAAAGAGGCTTCTTGCCCTCTTGGTTGCAGGGAGCTAAGAGCAGCAGCAGGGGCCAGATGAGGGGCTGTTGGAATAATCCAGGGGTGAGGTGGTGGACCCTGGAGGTAGCCTGTGGTGGGATGGTGAGAAGTAGTCCCTCTGGGTGGAATTTGAAGGTGAATTCGGGGACAGGATTTGCAGATAGATTGATGGCAGAGAGAGAGAGAATGCATGCACAGAGTCAAGGATGACACCAGGGCTTTTGGCCTGAGCAACCGGAAGGATGAGGTTACCGTTTAGTGAGATGGGGACTTCTGGGGGTAAAGCAGGATGGGAGGAGATGTGAGGAGCTTGCTTCTGGATTAGTTGAATTTGAGATGCCTTTTAGACATCCATATGGAAATGTCAAGTGGGCAGCTGGCTTTTTGAGTTTGGAGTTCCAGGGACTCATTGGAGTACAGATGTAGTTAAGACCAGTTAAGACCGGCTGAGATCGCTGGATTGGGTGAGGCACTGGAGGGGAGATGACTGGGGCCCAGCCCAGCGTCCAGGTGGGAGGAAGGCTGGCGAGGGTGGAGTCCTAGGCCCGGGAAGTCAACCCCCCTTACCGGGAGGAGGGCCGGTCAGCCAGGGGGCGCGTCCGCTGTCACACGCTGCACAGGTCAGGGAAGGTGAGCCCTCAGAGTGGGACTTAGCTACAGGGGGACATCGTCACCTTTTCAAGAGCAATTAGGTGGTGAGGTGCGGGAAGAAGCTGTTTGGGACAGGTGTGGGAGAGAATGGGACAAAATATGGGGAGAGATAGTAAATGCAGACATGTTCAAGAAAATGGGTGGTAGAGACATAGGGGAGGGTAAGAGTGCTTTTCTTTTTCTGGGTGGCGGAAGAACTGAGAGCAGTTTGTGTGCTGATGGAAATGATCCAGGAGAGGAGGAAAAGTCAGTGACACAGAGGCCAGGGGTGGGGTTGGCCTTAGCTCCGAGCAAGGACAGGTCACTGTCTGGGATCACTTCAGGTAGCAGGGTGTGGGTGGTCTCTGCCTTAGCTTCTGTGTTCTCAGGGAAGCAAAGTCCGCAGCTGAGAAGCCAAGTGACCACCACATGGGAGATCCTGCAGTTTATGAGAGGCAGTGCTGGGTGACTCCATGCCAGGGCCTTTCACGTCCCCCAGTGCCTTTGCCTGAAGCCCGAGGCCTAACCACTTCCTTGGGCAGCACTGGGACCTGTGGGTGCACCGAGCAGGGTGGGCAGCTCCACACCCCACTAAGCTGCTCCTGGGAGCTGGTCTGGAGCTGCGCTGGGCTTGGAGTTCTGCTGTGAGGCAGAATTCCCACATGCCCAGAGAGTTAGATTCCCAAATTTCCTTTTCCCTTTGTAAAGCAAGTGTTCTTGACTGTGAACCATGGACTCTTAGGAAACCCTTCG